TTTTCAAATTCGTTTTCCAGGTTTTGTTTTGTTTTAATGTTGTTATCCAAATGTTTTGCACAAGTTCTAGACCTCCAGGTCATTTTCTGGAGACAGGGACGGGTCTTTTCCATGGCCTTCTTCCTTGTTTTTTAATCAGCTTTCTTCACTGCACGCTATGCCTAATTTTAAGACTTTCTTCTTCAGTGCAGTTATTGGTTATCAGTTATTCTCTTTCATCCGATCCCTTTAATCAGAATCACTTTTCTGGTTTATAGTATTTGCTGTTCGAGGCTCTCAATGATTTAGTATATGTTATAATGTAGCTTTTATATTCCTTTTGCACTCTAAACCATCTACTGTGTTTGCAAGGTACTCCTCTCCAACCCAGCATTGCAGCAGACCTCGTACTGTGTATGTTGGAATCTCTCACAAGTTAGTTTTATTCTCAAGAGAGATGCACCAGCAGAAGTTGACATGGTTTCTAGCGTATCATTTTTTTGTGGTCACTGTACATTTTTGAGATGTCCAGCAGTAAAGTTGTTCCCCTATTTTCTCTTTATCAATCTTTTTTTGTCTGATGCTTCTACTCCTTCCTTTTGCCAAAGTGACTTGTCATGTGTAGATGCAAGTAAAAGTGGTTCTACTTGAACCACTCAGTGATTATATTTCAGTTCCAGACATACCCTCTGTTTGGATTATTGGGAGGGTCTAGGTTCATTTATGGGACCCTTGGTTTCAACATATTCTGCAGTCTACTATTTTGTCTGTCATGTCTTTTCTCCTCTTTCTCACCTTGTATTTTTTCTGATTCAGTTTGCTAACAAATTTTGGATTAGGAAATGTTGGATCTTTTATGAAAAGGCACCATCAAAATTATTCACAGTGTTTCTCCAAGTTGTTACTCCCATTTTTTTGTAGTTCCAAAGAAATTGGAAGACTGAAATAGATTTATCTCATGTCAGTCATTTTCTGGAGATCCCCAATTTAAAAGGAAATGTGGGAATGTTAAAAATTTTTAATTAATTCAGACATCCTGATTTAAATATCATCTTGCGATTGAGAAGTGTTTTTTTTTTAATTTATTCCCCTTCTGTGTGGCCTGTCTTCAGCTATATATGCTTTCAGTTCATTACTTATAAGGACGATTGGCTTCTTCTTGCTCTGATGTCCACTCAAATCTCTAGCATGGTTAAAGTCACAACACCTAATCTCAGTCAGTACCAATTCAGTGTTTGATCTATCTAGGGTTTTGGATCAACACAGTCCAGGGGATTCTTCAGCTGTCTTCTATACTTACTGTCAAAGACATCCTTTCTGCTTTGGGGACAATGACTTCATGAAAATGAAACACCTCAGTCATTTTCAGTCACTGATACTTACAGGTGAAAAAAACAACTGAAAGTGATTTTTTTAAACTAGTATTATTTTTAACCTCTAAAATATGGCTTGAACTTCTAAATATTTTATGTGCAAATAATCTATTTTTCAGAGTTTGAATATTTATTAAGCTTCCAAAATATGAAACTGTCAATGACCACAGTTATTTTAGGGATTAATTGCATTTATACACAAAGCTAATTGCTTGAGCCCTCGATGGATTTTGTTTGATCAAAAGTGGATTTGACATCAAACTCTAGTGAACTGTCTTATTTTTGAAATTTTCAATGCACTAAAGCTGCTGAAGATTAGCTTATTGTTGAAAATAAGTTGAATTCATGGATTAAATAATAAAATACATAATAAACTAATTCAGCAGTTGAATCTGGTGGGTACTAAGAGGAGCTTCAACGAATGTAGGTAATCGTTAATGTTATCTGTCACTGAAATAGCAGTCATGTTTTACACACCTCATTCATGATAATATCCTCCAATGTTGTGCTTTAATATAAAATTATAGGAAAATATTGAATGGTTTTTATGTGGATAATTAAAAAACCAATATTTGAAAGGCATGCTAATGATCACATGTCATTTTGTGTGATTAATTCATTGTTATTGGTTAGTAGTTATATTCATGCAGGTTATTTTATATTATCATTTTGTGTTAATTCACTTATTGGAGTTACTGGATTCAAAGAAGTTATGTGACTTCTTTGTGTTAATTGGAGTGGTAATCATTACGATTGAGGAATGAAGCAAGTCATTTTGTAGGATTACTTTGTAGTAAATGTATACTGGGAATGTAAGATAATTAGAATTCCAATACAAGTATGAAAAAAAGACATGGAAACCTTGAGGGGGGGGGGGGATTATAAGTATTTAACACTACAAACTTCTATTAAGATGCAAGTTAGTTGAAAGTGACACATGATCAGTGGCAAAAAGTATGCCCCCACAATTGTGGGGATTATAAGTATTTAACACTACAAACTTCTATTAAGATGCAAGTTAGTTGAAAGTGACACATCATCAGTGGCAAAAAGTATGCCCCCACAATTGTGGAAGGGCCAAAAACCATCAGAATCATAACTACAATTATAGGGAAATAAATATAGGGGACCCAGTTACTTTTCACGTGGGAGGCTTATCTTTTGTACTTACACCACTGCACATGACGAATGATGACAAATGCCGAAGCTGGCATATGAAATTAGATTCTATTACTCGTGTACAAACTAATAATTATTCAGTACTTTTGTATTAAAATAAGTCATTAACTTTGTTGCAAACCTTGCACAAACAGTTTCTTGCATTTGACTGCCTGGAGAACACAAACACTGACCATTTTAACACTCAAAATATAAGTGAAAGAGATGCTAGCTTGATTTTTGTGGTACTGTTACAACCAATATTATTCTACTCTATCTAGAGTGCTTTATCATGATTGGCTAAGTGTGTTTCATGTTGTATGAAACATTTAAATGTTGCCTTGAACAGCTAGTCAATAACTTGCATCAATGTTGCATTTTTGAAGTTGCAGCAGAACTTTACAGTTTTTTACAGCACAGTAAAAACTTACTGATTCATTTAAGCCTATTTACAAACAGTTTTTTACAGCACAGTAAAAACTTAGTGATTCATTTAAGCCTATTTACAAACAGTTTTTTTACAGCACAGTAAAAACTTACTGATTCATTTAAGCCTATTTACAAAGGTCCCAAATCTTGCCAGCATTCTATGAAAATTTTATGTTTAAGTTAGACAGTTGTACACACTTTATGTTTTTTAGTATGACCACAATGTGTTTTGTTTTTATTTTGCAAATTAAACAACAATTAGTAAATCTGACAGTTAGTAATTCTTAAAATGAGATCAGAATCTTTAATGAAATGTTAAACTTCAATATTTACATGTAGGCCCAGAGATGTTGGCTAAACGTACTATGTTACATTGCTAATTAATTAGATATTAGCAAAAAACTGAAAACAGAATGGGGGAAAGGAGTAAAATAAAATAATTATTGACTGGTAATTTTGGGCAACAAATTATCTGGTACCCTTATAACCAAGTTGTTAATTGTTCATAAGATATTGGTAAACAGTGAGCTAAATGTGTACGTATTAATGATATTCAAAAAGAAAAACTGTTACATATTGATAAGAATTCATTTTATTAGCAACCAAACGAAACATTTTGATCATGTTATACTTCACGAACCTGCTCAAGGTTTATTTAAACAAGATTTTTCTAAGAAACTTGCACTGTCAACAACTTGATCACTGTTATATTCACTTAGTTTTGTAACAAACTGTACATATAACGTGGGTATCTGTAAGAATATGGATTAAAAGGACTAAAACCTTATATGGTATGTCCTTTTTGTCTTTACATCAGTCGTTAATAAGAATACAGATACATATTTGTTTTACATAATGTTGGCCAAACACTTACAGGGGCACAGAAGTATTATATATATACGTTTAATGATACACTATACATATTAGGTGTGGTATTACCAAGGCTGCTTCAACATATTGTAGAGAATAAACACTACACTGATAAATACTAACTTATATTTACTGCCACACACAACACACACACATGAAAAAATACCACATTGGCACTAACTCATAGTAACATTATAATAGACTTAATTGTTGAATGTAATATTGTATGTAACTGTTAAAGTGGTGTTAACAGATGTATATAAAAAAATGGTACGGGGTTGGAACGTGAGTAGATTGGGCCTTGACATTTTGACTTTATTACAAAGTCATCATCACAACACTTTATTTCGTTACAAAAAATCAAGGAAAGTTCAAATGACTAAACTCTTAGTAACAAGTAATGTAAAGAATTTTGAACATTAATAACAAAAAAAAATTCAAAATGTTCTTTTCTTAATGGGAACATCACACTCATTTTCCACATGTGCCTAGGACTCTAATGAAGCTTGCATATCAGAGTCTCAAGACAACGTGCCCAACTCTTAATGACCAATATTTTCTATTAATGTGTTACTAATAGAAAGCAACTTAACCCAACAAATCTACAGATTTTACACATGTGCTAGGACTCTAATGAAGCTTGCATATCAAGAGTCTCAAGACAACGTGCCCAACTCTTAATGACCAATATTTTCTATTAATGTGTTACTAATAGAAAG